TTCCTGTAAGTGGAACAAAACAGAAATCAGTTTCAGAAACAGTCGCAGAACCGAGTTGTCTGCATTCACAAGGAAGACACTTCATCGATTGCTGTTGGCCTCCCACGAGCATAAGTTGACGGACGTTCCATCAGTCTTCTGAATTTCTGAGCGCTTTTTGACAAGTAGTTGTTGAGCAGTCCATTCGAGGTGCCACTGTCGATGTCTGTTCGATTTCTTCGCCACTGTGCCACCACACCTCAATTTCTAGGTAGTGAGAATTTGACGTGTTCGCTGAAGACGCGTAGAACTGAATCAAGTCCTCTGCAATTACAGGGCATTAACTACACCAAGATCTGCTTCTAGAGGCATAAAGAACCTGACTGAAGTATCATATCAAACAGGTTCATTTCGATCATTTCAAAGTTTGTGGAGAGTAGCGTCACCTGGTGATTTTAGTCATGCAACAGTTAACTTTAGTGACCAGTTGAAAGGATCTGCGTTTTAACACTCTTGTCGAATCCACCTTCAAATGTACCACCGGAAAGTAAACATTCACGTAACCCAGATGCCACCTCTCTGCGGTTTCATAGATGAGCGTTCTTTAATTAAGCATCGGTAAAATAACATGATGGTCCTAAACGTGAGCGATACATTAGATAAGACGTACTCTTGTTTACTTTACGCTTCCGAGTCCCCTGTTCGAACGTCGACTGCATGTCATGGGCGGCGGGAGCCGGAGTGTTCAACCAATGTGACTGAGCTACGCTTGATAAGCGATCTGGCGATTAGTCGGATTAAGTTGTAGCTTAATGGTGCGATACGTCCAACATTCCGGAGGCATTAATCACTTGGAGTTGAGCCGCAGCCGGAGGGGTAGTTGCGCCATGCTGTGGTTTTGTGAACACCGCGCACGGGCTGAATGGTCCTCTGTCGGTCGCCGAGTATTTCGTGTGTCCTTCGAGTTGCGAAATGGCAAACACAGCCTGGTTGAGCGCACAAAGTCGTCCAAGTGCTCGACATGCACATACGCACACTTATAACGTCACAGGGTTGGGGCCGGTTGGACTCGAAGGCTAAGTTTTCAGCATGGAAAATCGGACGAAAGAGCCGAACCGAGAGGATCAGGGGAGACCGACGGCGAAAACAGCACCGCACCGTTGACGTCCCTCCTTTGTTTCGCGTTCCCAGGTCGATGGACAATGTCCACTTGACACGACGCTTGGACAGTGCAGTGTGTGACCACCGTCGATGAATCGCAAGTCACTCTCCGAGTGACATCTGATGCTCAGGCGTCGCCGTCAGCGTTGTCGTCGTCTGGACAGCCGTAGCACTCGTCGCGCGTTTCTACCGTATCGCGAACGGCACCGAGCACTTGGGGCTTTCTTCAGCTTGAGCTTTCGACAGCTCCGTTAGTACGTAGCCGTCCATCGCAGTGGTTGCTGTCGAGTTTGCTCGTTCTCGTGTGCTTGGCGTGGTCGACCGTCGACTCCACCCCGTTCTCTGATCTAACCGTTTGCTATTTCTCTTGTTAGAAGACCGCACTCACCAGCCAAGGTCACTGCTGCCTCAGCGTCGATGGTCATCATGCCGGACACCGGCTCGTCGCTACGCCTCTTTACTCTACTAGCCGTCATCTCGGCCGTCGTGGCCATTTCCAAGAGGGACTTCTACCCTTTCGGCACCGCCTCCTCTGGCGACAGCGAGCTGCCTTCATACGATGACGTCAGCAGCCCAGAGATTCACTTCCCGACGTCGGTGCGCTTTCTCGAAGGCAGCTATGACTACGGTTTCGTCAACCAGAACGGCTTCGTTTCGTTCGAAAGCGAGTTACCGTACTTTTCCAGTCGAAACCTGAACGAATACGCGTATCCGATCATTGCGGTCTTCCTCAGCGACGTGGACCCTCGCGGCATCACCTCTGCTGAAGATGGGGGTCGTGTCTTTTACAGGTACGAATTATTTTAATATTGCTTAAAGTGATCACTGATAGTAAAATGATAAGTTTTCAATTCTGGGTCTGTTATAGCCGGCGTGTCTGGCTACCTGGTCTGTGGCATCATCGAGGCACAGTCTGTTCTGTCTCAGGATGTTACAAATGTGTTAAAAAAACGCGGAAGTTATAAAAGTTTTTATTTCGGTGCCCTCAGCCATGAATCACCAATTCATTACATTTCAACACTCATGGATCACTTCCATTCACGATGTTTGCAAAGCTGAATACTTACCATAGTTAATCCACTTAATTACTAATTCAGACTCATAATGTTGTCCTTTTGCATAACGATCATTGTAGCTGTCACAAGCACATGTCCGGGAGATCACGACAAACCTGCCTTCACCTCGTCGGTTCATAATGATTCTTGAAGGTAAGAAAAATCGTCAGGTGTGCTCAGATAACGTGTTGCGAAAGTGGGCCAAACATTTCAGTGCAAAGAACGTCCTCAACACACAGTCGAACGGTACACCGGGGATCTCTTAGTCTGGCTAATACTGTTGCTAGTTACCTCAGCCATTCGATAGAAGAAAACCTAGAGACCTAATAACGTCACAGAACAAATTAATCTAATCTAATTAAATACAGGTAGAAGGAAATTAAAAATCTACCGAAATTTTGACCCTGTAGTTGATCGCCACATATCCTGTGTGAAATGCTCATGTGTACTTAAAACTTCCGCCAGTCCTATGCTACAATGTTAGAAACTAAGCGAGGAACCACTGCGGTTTTACTGCCTACATGTTTCTTCATTCGAATTGTCTACACAGTAGCAGCCATCAACTTTTATGACCTCTATGATTGCTACTAGCAGCGGACTGTAAAAACACAAGATATGGTTAACAACGATAGAGGTGAACCCGCTGTTGACAAGCGAGAGCTATTCAAGAGAAGCTAATGAGTATATTTTCCAGCAAGCGACAGATTTGTAACAATACTTCAGTCCTTTTCGTTGACAAGAGAGAAATCTTCCTTTTCGTTCAAAGAACCGGTGGCATGAATGCGAAAGCTTCAGTCCTTGTCTCTGATTCTCTTTATCTAGAAAGTTTGAGGCTTGAGAGCATATTCTCTGAGTGGAATTACAAAAGACTCGATTTTTGAGCATACGCTCAATAAGAAAAGATGAATCAAATTCAGAATTAATCAGAAGCGAGAATTATTTGCATGTAATCATTATCACAGTTCGAAACTAAATAAACACACCAATAGACCTATTTTTCATTGAGAATACTCGTCTAATACTGCCAAACGTGTGTTCAGGTGTTGCTGTTTTTGTGGATACGCACTATTGCTTATGATAAGAATTCTTATTTCTTGCGATAATGAATTCTTCGCAAAGCTTCATGATAGCTTGGAAAAGAAAATCAAGGGATTTTTGTAACTTTTAGGATGTCAATTTCCGTCGTTCTTCCATGATATACAAGATTTACGAGACCTTCATTTCATATAGCTTATAATACGTCCATCCTTCTTCATTGCTTTTTCTTCAGCCAGATGTTTACTGTTATTTTTATAAAGCTATAAAGCTAGTCAATCAGTTAGACAAACAGACAGACAGTCATTTGAGGCTACTCATTTGACTAACTCGAAAAAGCGAAATACGAGTGCCCCCACCAGGATTAAATTTATTATCCTTCGGCTGTGAATCCGACGATCCGCTTACTGAGCTACCCTGGCAGAGGGTTTTGTCAAGCTCAACTGCATCTGCCGCCTTAGCCTGCATTTCAAGACTTCATAACAGTCTTACGGGACTACCTTCCCAGATCAGGATCAAGATTTTGTAAGCCCCTGTGCTACAGATACTGTGAGGCCCAGTAATATTTTCAAAGAAAAAAGATCTAAAGGAAAATTAAATTTATTTTTACAAGGCTAGCAATAATTCAAATTCAAACACTTGCCTTTGAGTAATTTCTCGGAAACGAATTTCGGCGCAACATCGGTAAGGTGTCAATTCTGTAGAACGTCATTTTCAACTGCCATGAGACTAAGTCTGTCTGGTCCTTTTTGTGCCATTGTCGATCTGTGTACATTCTTCAGATGTTTCATCTTGGAGAAACCCCTCTCCCTAGTCGCATTGGTTACCGTTAAATACAAGTAAATCTATATAAAATTTCAACGTTAGATGTTTACTACAAGGCTGTAAATATCAGACGCTTGTTATGTTTCACGGTTGTGCCTGAATTCATCAAACTGTCCAACAAAGTTCCTGAGATGAAGAATTTCTGCCATAAATTTGGGCTCGAGGAGAACTGAGCAAATTTTCTGAAACTTGGCTGCTGCTATTGAAATGTCTTAACCATTCATTATTGGAAATTCGACCAGGAATCTGAATAATGAACATTTTTATACGCTTCAATGCAATGAGAAAGAGCTAAGTATAACTTGCCTATGAGGAGTAGAGGTTTCCACCTTGAACTTCTGTCTTCCTCGCAATGCAACATCTTCAGCAGCATCAAGATTGAATGTTTTCTTTTCCAATGCTCTCGTTTTTGTTCGTCACAATATTGCGTATTTTTTACTTTGCCTTTTGTTTCAAACACTCCAAACTGCTCCCGCTGAGAAATCGAAATTCCCAATAGAGATTGAAGAATTTTTATGGCTGATTGAAGCTGCAGGGTTTCAACTTGAAGTGATTTGCCGACTTGTTTGAACTTCTCTAGCATGACAGCCCATAAGTCTGTCATGAGGACGGTTCACAACTTTGTAGCTGCTTGAGTATAGTGTTTGTTTCATAATATGTGACATCCCCCTGAGCCTATCTTCTTAGATTAAGCTCAAGGCTTGTCGAAAGCAGCCGTGGGATCGTCTCTTGCAGACCATTTAATATGTGATGCTCTTATGCTCTTTTAGTTATCAATGTAGATTCACATTCACTTTCGGCTTTAAGGCACTGAAGCATTACTGACGAACATTGAATTAGACCAGAAAAGAAATTGTAAAAATTTCTAGCACGAGACCAAAGAATGGAACTGCTCCAGTGCAGATTTCCACAGCATATGCATCTGCCAAATTAAGGGAGTGTGCAGAGCATGGAATGTAATGTGCAAGATAATTGATATTGATGGTATATGCTTGAGTCTCTTAGGCATGAATGGTATGTGCCTGAATTTGTTGAATAACATGGTGACATGTTCGATGCCTTGTCACAGGACTGTCCTCTTCAGTTAGCAACGTCAATTCTAAATTGTTCATAGAAATTCAAAACAATGTTGGCAACAGCTTCTTCAATGCAATTTGCGATGGGATTGAAAATGAGAAAATGTTCAACAACCTCATTATTTAATATTTGAACATAGCGAGGAAGTAGAGTTGATCAGCGTGAGAATTGTCTAATGTCGAATCAACACTTAGAGAAAAGTATCTGGCCTCTTTGATTTCTCTTCTCTACTTCCTCGCATATCGTTGAAGATAGATATGAATCTTTTCCTCGAGCTGTGAATGCCATATGTTATTATATGTGAACAAAGAAAAGGATTATATTCAATGAGTAATTCAAGTGTCCCAAGGTAGCTGCCATTCTGTTGAGAATGAAGTACTTCTCTATCCCTATAAATGCTAATCCACGAGATGAGAGATACTTCATAGTTGAAACTACTCTTTGCAGTACTTTTGCTCAGTTCCCTTTCCTTTGTGAATTGGATTTCCAAATATTGAATCAGTTTTTCCAAGTGCTTTTCTTCTAAAAATGCCTTATCATGCAGGTTCAATGCCGGAACTGTATTCATGTTCTGCAGTTCGTGTAGAGGAGTTTCCAGGCTGAAATTCAACCATTGAAAAACGTTTTTTTCAGTGTAAACCATTAGAAAGAACGCAAGCAAGGCAATATATATTTTTTGTTGAGGGTAAATGCCATTACCTTTTAATTTATCATCTAATCGATACCTTTTTGCAGTATCAGTGCACGTGAAATTTTTTTTCTTATCAGAATACTGTCTTTTGGATAAAGAAAAATCATCATTATGGCGCTGGCATTCTTTGTTTACACAAAATTCACGTACCTCATTTGCTATATTTGAGTTTGTCCACAAGTCAATGTCATCGTGATACTCAGATCCCAGGACATCTTTCTTTTCGTGGACAAGTTCATTATTAACTCCTATGGCATTCCTGCCGTCAGAGACAATTTGATCTTCCGATGCCTCAGTCATTCAGCCATTACTGGATTTGCTGGTTGATTGCTTTGTTTGCTGTTCTGCTGCTGCCTTGCGTTTAGGAGTTTTTCATGTTTCTGCGTCGTCTTTTATTAATTTTTTTCGTTTGCGTCCTCCACTCGCAAGCTTGATCTTCTCATACATGATTCATCTGAAAGGGTGTAACAGTTGGTAAATATTGATTTAATTGAATTATATTTGTTCAACTTTCTGGCTGCCATTACTTAACGAAACAGCTAGAGGCAGAAATTAAAATATAGTTTGCCGAAGTGTACGGCTTGGCGAGCTCAGAGCGCTTTTGCCTGAGATCTAGTTGAAATCAAGCCTGATGCAGCTCAATGTAGGCCCTAGCTGAATTATAAGTGTGCCCTAGCCTGAAATCAACTTAGGTCTTAACTGGCCGAATTATGATGATGCGGACTAACGCAGATTAATACTTAATAATACACTGGCAAAATGTACATAATTAATATTTAACTTAATTAGCCATCATTAAAACATGGCAAATTATATAAAAAAGAAGACATGCATTTGCCGCTATGCCTGACAAGTTGAAACTATACTACAGGGTTTAATAAACCAAATTACGTCTAATTAAACGCAACGCTCAACAGTTTATCTTATACGTGATGTAATAACAGACTATAATTATAAACTTACAGCAGTAAATGTAAACACAAATGTCAGTCAGGTCAAATTTCAAAACAGTAAAAAAATGCCATTAGAAAGAACGTTTCGCAGGTTTCCAGCAACAAAACTGTTATTCATATTATAAGGCCTGCATGACGTCACAAACTGTCCTACAGTGTGTATATATATATAGTTCAGTGTTTCTTTTTGCTGTAGTATGTTTACCACAAAATATCTACAGTGTAATAAGTCGACATTTTTTAAATACATAATTTTGAGTACAAAATCTTCGTTTCAGCATTCACCAATGAAAAACTTTTCACTGACGATGCTTCTGGGCTGTGGCTTCTGGGAAGCCCATGCCTTAATCTGTCATGTGATCCGTACTTTGTCTGTTGTCTGCCCTCTGCACAGAATGTTGCATTATGCAAAGTGCTTTACGTTGGAATGGTTCTATATGTAAAACCCAATAATGTTCTTTCTGTTACGGATTGAAAAGTTTTATTACTTGAAAAAGAAACTCAAGCTCAATGCTCATTTTAATAGATCTAACTGAAGTACCGAATTACACAGTACACAGATTCAGTGCCGCGATCGCGGAATCGAGTGCTGACACCAACCAGCGGTTTGCGCCAAAACCTGCCATTGTGGACCGGGTATCAGTTGGCTCAACTACGTTAAGGGCTCAGATCTATTTGTCACTGAGCGAGTGACTTTCGAAACGTTTTCATTAGAGGGTAAACCGAATGGTTTAAATGGTTAATCGCAGATATGATAACGATATGCAACCTTTTGCATTTTTACTGAGAAGATATGCGCAATGGCATTTAAAAATTGAAGTGAATATTTTTTCAAAATGTCTGAGAACATTATCAAGAGGCAGAATGAGTACAAGATAGCTTTTTTTGATTATCTCGAGTATTTTCATGAGTAGCTTTTGAATTATTTTCATAGTTTTTTTTTGGGTAAAGACGAAACGTGTCCAGTGTATCAAACTCTGTAGAAATCAAGTAGGGCGAAGAAA